TTTCTTTTAAAGTTCTGTGTTGCCGTGATGACACCTGGCTCCACCTGAACTTAACTTTTCTCAAACCTTGAGCTAACTATTGTGTCTTTCTTATGGAAATGTTTGTTTTAATCTATGTTAATGAAGGATGTATTTACCCTAGACTCTTTCTCCAAGTCAGTTCCGCTTAAGATGCAGAACCCATAAGTGAAGTGAAGTGAAGTGAAAGTCGTTCAGTCATGTCCGACTCTTTGAGATCCCATGGACTCTACAGCCCATGGAATTCTCCAGGCCATAATACTGAGTGGGTAGCCCTTCTCTTTTCCAGGGGATCTTCCCAACCCAGGGATCCGAACCCAGGTCTCCTGCATTGCAGGCAGATTCTTTACCAGCTGAGCCACAAGGGAAGCCCCAGAACTGATAGTTCAGTTGCTGAGTTGTGTCTGACTATTTGCGACCCCATGGACTGAAGCACTCCAGGTTTCCCTGTCCATCAGCAACTCCCAGAGCTTGCTCAAACTCATATCCATTGAGTTGGTGATGCCATCCAACCATCTCATCCTCTGTCGTCCCCTTCTCCTCCTGCCTTCAGTCTTTCCCAGTATCAGGGTCTTTTCCGAAGAGTCAGTTCTTCGAATCAGGTGACCAAAGTATTGGAGTTTCAGCCTCAGCATCAGTCCTTCCAATGAATATTCAGGACTGATTTCCTTTAGGATGGACTGGTTGGATCTCCTTGCAGTCCAAAGGGACTCTCAAGAGTCTCTTCCAACACCACAGTTCAAAAGCATCGATTTTTCAGTGCTCAGCCTTCTTATAGTCCAACTCTCACATCCATACATGACTACTGGAAAAACCATAGCTTTGACTAGATGGACCTTGTTGGCTAAGTAATGTCTCTGATTTTTATTATGCTGTCTAGGTTGGTCATAGCTTTTCTTCCAAGGAGCAAACATCTTTTAAGTTCATGGCTGCAGGCACCATCTGTAGTGATTCTGCAGCGCCAAAAAATAGTCTATCACTGTTTCCATTGTTTCCCTATCTATTTGCCATGAAGTGATGGGAACGGATGCTGTGATCTTAGTTTTCTGAATGTTGAGTTTTAAGCCAGCTTTTTCATTCTCCTCTTTCACTTTCATCAAGAGGTTCTTTAGTTCTTCTTCACTTTTTGCCATAAGGGTGGTGTCATCTGCATATCTGAGGTTATTGATGTTTCTCCCAGCAATCTCGATTCCAGCTTGTGCTTCCTCCAGCCCAGCGTTTCTCATGATGTACTCTGCATATGAGTTAAATTAGCAGGGTGATAATATACAGCCTTGACGTACTCCTTTCCCAATTTGGAATCAGTCTGTTGTTCCATGTCCAGTTCTAACTGTCACTTCCTGACCTGCATACAGTTTTCTCAGGAGGCAGGTCAGGTGGTCTGGTATTCCCGTCTCTTGAAGAATTTTCCATGGTTTGTTGTGATCCACACAGTCAAAGTCTTTGGCATAGTCAATAAAGCAGAAGTAGGTGTTTTTCTGGAACTCTCTTGCTTTTTCAATGATCCAGTGGAGGTTGGCAATTTGATCTCTGGTTCCTCTGCCTTTTCTAAAACCAGCTTGAACATCTGGAAGTTCACAGTGCACATACTGTTGAAGCCTGGCTTGGAGAATCTTGAGCAGTACTTTGCTAGTGTGTAAGATGTGTGCAATTGTGAGGTGGTTTGAACATTCTTTGGCATTGCCCTTCTTTGGGATTGGAATGAAAACTGGCCTTTTCCAGTCCTGTGGCCACTGCTGAGTTTTCCAAATTTGCTGGCATATTGAGTGCAGCACTTTCACAGCATCATCTTTTAGGATTTGAAATAGCTCAACTGGGATTCCATCACCTCTTCTAGCTTTGTTCATAGTGATGCTTACTAAGGCCCAATTGACTTTGCATTCTAGGATTGTCTGGCTCTAGGTAAGTGATCACACCATCATGGTTTTCTGGGTTGTGAAGATCTTTTTTGTATAGTTCTTCTGTGTATTCTTGCCACCTCTTCTTAATATCTTCTTCTTCTCTTAGGTCAATACTATTTCTATCCTTTATTGTGACCATGTTTGCATGAAATGTTCAACCAATAAGGGCCCAACAAACCTGTATGTTTTACTCATATATTGTTCCCCTAATCTATGATAATGAATCTCCATATTTACTTGGAAACCTGCCTTTCTTCAAGATTCATGTCAATCGTTTTAAGGCCAGGGATGACTCACCTGGTGCCAGTGTTATCTCAAAGTGCTTGTTGTGGGTGAGGGGCCTGGTGCCACTCTGGGTTTAGAGACATCTCCTTTCTCTAATTAACAGCTTGCTGATAGGTATATAACATCCTGCTAAAGGCTAGCAGGGGGCACTCTTTTTGCCCCCTTCTGGTGTCTATGTCTGAAGCTTTCTCTATCTCTTTTATACTTTAGTAAAACTTTATTACACAAAAGCTCTAAGCGATCAAGCCTCATCACTGGTCCCAGATTGAATTCCTCTCCTCCAGAGGCCAAGCATCCCAGCATCTTTCATGGCTCAGCAAAAACCTTCCACAACCTTTAAAATTTTATAAAAATTGAAAATTTAGGAGAATTCCCTGATGGCCCAGTAGTCAGGACTCAGCGTGGCAGTTAAGACTGCTGTAGGCCCAGTTCAAACCCGGTAGAGGAACTAAGATCCTTGTGTTAGGTAGTTAGAATAAGAAAAAGGAGTCCAAAGCAGCAGTGGCTAAAAAACAAGGAAGGGAAAAGCCCGCGAAAACAGAACAAAGGAAGATCAAAGCAAGGTCCAAGGACCAGAGTGAGGACTTTGGGTAGAACAAACAGCACTCCTGGCTAGCCCAATTTACAAAGGGCAGGCCCAGGGGGAGGGAAAAAACATACTAAAAGAGGAGCCAAAGAGCGCTCTCTCTCCCGCCTGCTGGGGCGCTCTTCTCTTCATGTCTTTGGGTCGACATGCCCTCACGCCTCGAGGATGGATTTTCCTGCTATTATCTAAATAAAATAGAGCTGTAACACGGAGCTGTAACACTGATTTGTCTAAGAGCTATAACACGGTCCGTTCTAGACCTGAGAGCTATAACACGGCCTGTCCAAGACCCAAGAGCTGCGACATGCCGAGGGCTTTATTGTCCGTCACTCCAAATCTTTGTTGTGATGAGACAGAACGGAGAAGCATACACTCGCCTGACACTTGCAAGCAATTTTTTAAATTAAAATTAAAAAAAAAATATTGTCAATGAAAGAAGAGTCAGAGCCCAGAGTATAAATTCCAGACAATAGGTTGTTTGTAGCCTAAGGAGGACAAGTGCAGCCTGGTAATCCCCAGAGGCTTCCTGGAGGAGGTGAGATTTGACCTTGGCCCTGGAGGGGCAGCCTTGAGGTTGAGAGAAGCAGGGTCACTTCTGAGCCTGAAGGTATTGGCTTTGCAGGAGGGACAGTTTCTGGAGAGAGCTGAAGGCCGTGGGAAAGGGAAATAGAAAACAGAGAGGTTCTCCCAGGGAGCAGAGGGGAAGGAGTGTGTTCCTCTCACTTCTCATTTCTCTCTGGAAGCTGAAAAGCTTTGCCAGGGTTACAATGTTGGCTCCAGCAGGCTGGACCTCCTCCAGCTCCAGGACGATCACAGGAAGTAATGCAACACATAGTTGCCAAATGTCCAAGGAACACCCAGAGCCATTTCCCCCTAGCCACGTTGGGAAATAGGTGTGTGCTCAGCCAGCCCCAGAGATTGCTGCTGGTAAGGAAGAAACCATTGCCAGCCTGGCCCTGCTTGGTAGTGGTGAGAACATGGGACTGGAGACCTGGGCAGGCTGGGATCAGGGGTGGCCAGTGAGGACCGGGGCCAGGCTTTGAGCCCTGGCTTTGCCTCTACACGGCTATGTGAACTTAGACGAGTCTTTGCACCTCTCTGGGTCTCAGAGTCCTCATCCATAGAGCAGCCCTGTCTTTGTAGGGTGTAAACCACTCCCTTGGCAACAACCAAGCCAAACCCTTGGCTAACATTCTCTTTTAATAATCCTCACCTGTCTTTGAAAGTAGGTATCACTGACTCTATTTCACAGATGAGAAAATTGAGGCTCAGAGAAATTAACTAGCTTCCCCAAGGTCACACAACTGAGAAGTGGCATGTGGATATTGAGGACCTCAAAAAGACGGGAGCGAGCACTTCCTGTTAGGTTGCATGATGAAATTGACTCTGAAATGTCAGGACTCCTGCATAAGCACATCCCCTTAGACCTCTGAGCATCCTCCATGGAGTGTGTGGTGGAAGGGCAAGCCAGGTGGAGGTAAGCAAGGGCATGTTGTGGTCTTGTTCTCAGAGCCCAGTGACCCCCTCAGTTTTTCAAGTATGAAGATTCTCATGTGATAATAGTTAAGTTTGCAACCAGTAAGTTGAAAAACAGCCACTGCAAATCTAGCAACTTTTTAAAATGAATTTGTATTTTTCGAACTCAGGGTTTAGAGACATTCGAGATGAAGATGCAGGGGCACATTTGGATGATATTTGATAGTTAGGCTAAGGGACCTCTAAAGATGACTAAAACTTGCCCGACCAGTTCCCCGCCCCCTGGCCCCCTCTGCACCTTGGGAGCTGAACTCAGACTGTCACACTCAGAAGCAAAGTAGTGATTCATTGTCAGTTGGGCCAGTGGCCAGTGGCTGAGGCTGGCCTGGAACACAGAGGCAGAGGGGCAGGTCTCTTCTACATCTCCTCCCAGTCTTTGGCTGACTGTGTGTGGGAAAATCCCAATGGCTGGCTTGGGTGGAGAGAGGGAGAGGAAGAAAACCAGAGTGAGCTTGGGTTAGGCTTACTGGTCACATAGCACAGAGCAGAAGAACTGAAAATGGGCACCTGGATATGTGCCCTTTAGCCCCCGAGACTCCTGCCCACCATCAGACAAGAATCCATGAGCAGCGTTCTAGAATCCAGCCAATTGGACTAGCAATTCCAGATTCCTAGGGGGAGGGGAGAAGGATGATGAGAGCAGGGAAGCAGGTGGGGTTGAGAGCATTTCTTACCCTCCTGGGGAATGTGTGCTGGCTTCCAGACAAGCCTTCCTGAACTATTTGGATTCCTAGATCCTTTGAAAGAATTCAGATCCTCCACCCCGCCCCCACTACAGCCTGAGGCCAGGACAACCTTGGTGACAGGAGCTATTAAAGGATTTTGAACAGAGGTGTCACATGAAAAGGTTATTCTTCTCTTAGCAGTTGTGGAGCACTGTGAGCAGCATAATACTATGTGTGTGTGCTAAGTCGCTTCAGCCGTGTCTGACTCTTTGTGACCCTATGGACTGTAGCCCGCCAGGCTCCTCTGTCCATGGGCTTCTCCAGGCAAGAATGCTGGAGTGGGCTGCCATGTCCTCCTCCAGGGGATCTTCCTGACCCAGGGATCAAACCCTCATCTCTTATGTCTCTTGCATTGGCAAGCAGGTTCTTTACCAGGCTTCCCCTGTGGCTCAACTGGTAAAGAAGCCACCTGCAATGCAAGAGACCTGGGTTCGATCCCTGGGTTGGAAAGATCCCCTGGAGAAGGGAAAGGCTACCCACTCCAGTATTCTGGCCTGGAGAATTCCATGGAATGTGTAGTCCATGGGGTCGCAAAGAGTCAGACATGACTGAGTGACTTTCACTTTCATTCTTTCAGTGCCACCTGGGAAATCCAATACTATGTGTGCCTCTCCATTAATTTTAGTTGATTAATTCACTCTGCCTTCAGAGTTAAGGCATAGAGATTCCTGTGATTGCATAAGACAAACTTTTATCTTTTCTGTACATTTCTTTTCCTGCTCCAATCAGCCCGGCTGCTTTCTGTTGCTGTTCCTTTAATCCTTTAGGAACACCGGTTAGAACAACACCCATACATGTGTGTGTGCATGTTGTACACAAGCGTGCATGTGTGGATCTGCAGTGACCCCAGTGATAAGAACCACATGGGTCAGTGTCCCAGGTTCTGTTCCCAGGTGTCTGATAGTCTGAAAGTGGAGGCTTCTTTTCTCAGAGAAAAGAGCAGACAAGCATTAACAAGAATGCTTCCAGGTATTACATTTCACTGAATCCTGTCCACTCAGGAAGGGGTTAACATTTGTGTTTTTACAGAAGAAGACTCCCCTAGGGTCCGGAGAGTCTGGAAGGTTGCCAAGGTTTCAGAGCTACTAAGGGGTGGAGCTGAGGACAAGTTCAAACCCTGGCCCCCTCCCACTGTACCCATTGCCTTTCCCCTGGAGCTCAAAATGGGTGGGAGATTGGCCAGTTGGGGGTCTTCCAAAGGGGTAGAGTGCTCTGCCAGCGTGGGGTGCTGATCTCTATAAGCACACAGCAAACCCCTGCTCCACACGCTGCCCCAGCACATCGGTGGATTCTGACGTGGGCCATCCACGGCCCCTGAAAAGAGATCTATCCAGGGGGCGTCTTCGGGGCTCTATTAGCCACCAAGAGCCTACTGTACATTTTGCCCAATGGTGTACCTTCCCTGAGGAGTGAACACAGTGGGGCTCTGCCCGGAAGTTGCTGCCAATCCAAATGGGACTGAGATGACCTTTGCAAAATGGGGCCACCGTGGCTAAGCCCCTCCTGTGCTGGCTGGAGCTGGAACTCTCCATTTGTAATGGACATGGCTGTTGATGACTGGCGGTGCCCAGCCCTGCCCGCTAAGGAGAGTCTGGCCCAGCTTCTTCCCGTCCCCCACTCTCTGAGGAGGGGGCAGCAGGGGTTTGGGAGTTCTGAATGGCAAAACGATGAAAAAGGGAGGGTGAGGGGAGAAAGAGGGAAATGACAGAGGTTCTAGGGCAGGGCTAGCTCTGGGGGCTGGCTCTTAATCTACATATGGATAAAGAGGCTTCTTATCTGTTTTGCTCCCAGGTACCTCTGTTGGCTTCTGGCACACAGTAGGTGCTTGTTGGCTGAATTAAGGGAGTTTGGAGAAGGGAGACCTCCAAAAAGCTGATAGTGATGGTGGTGAGGGATGTGAACAATTGAGGAGAGGGAAATATTGAGGAGTATTAATATCTCGGGCTTCCCTGCTGGCTCAGTGGTAAAGAATCCGCCTGCCAATGCAGGAGACGTGGCTTCCATCCCTGATCCGGGAAGATCCCACATGCCGAGGAGCAACTCAGCCTGTACGCCTTAGCTATTGAACCTGTGCTCTAGCTCCTGGGAGCTGCAAATACTGAAGCCCCCACACCCTAGAGCCTGTGCTCCAAGCAAGAGAAGCCCATTCACTACAACTAGAGAGTCGCCCCTGCTCACTGCAACTAGAGAAGAGCCCTAGCAGCAGTGAAGACCTGGCACGGCCAAAAATAATAAATAAATGAAATTATACATATATATAAAGAAATGTCTCAGGAGGTGGTGCTTATTCCTTTCAGAACACTCTAAATCACAAGTGAAGAACTTGAGTTGTTTAAAAATTATTTGGGGGTGTCAGGACAGTGACCCTGAGATGGAACCAGTAGGCTCATACATCTATCAGTGGGATTTTCACAGCAATGCTGCTAATCATCTGCCCCAGGACTTCGGTGCCAGGCATTGTTCAAAGCCATTTGCACATGTGTGCATGCTTATATACACAGACAACATCCTGATGATCTAGCCTCTCCATCTTTATCCTCATGTTACCAGAGGAGGACACGGAGACAGAGAGAGGCTGAGTCCCTGATGCAGGGACTGACTCACAGTTGATAAGTGATTAATTGGACATCAATTGGGGTGGGGGGCACCAGAGCACACCCTCTTGACCATACCCCTCATGTACTAGAGCCTGGGTCATGGGGAAGGGGCGACAGGTGTGAGCCACTGCCTCTGAGATGGTCAGGCTGCCTTGTAGCAACTGAAGGGGGCTTCTGGGTCTGAATTACTGCACCCCCCCCCACCCCTGCCCACTGTTGCGCAGGCTCCTGCTTTGTCTACTCAGGGAGGAAAAATAAACATTGATGGGACAGGGCTCAGGGTTCATCTGGGGGCTGCTGTTTTCCCAGCTGTGGAGTGGACGCCTCCTCCCAGGCTCCCAGAGCCAGCCCTGGACTCCAGCGGTTCCAAGGAGCCAGGACAAAGTGTGGTCATCGTGGGAAAATCAACCAAAAGAAGAAAAAAAGAAAATAAAGATCAGCTGCGACCCCTCCACTCAGAGAGATAGGGACACCATTTCTGGTGTTTAGCTAGCAGTGGGTCTTCCTACCAGTGTGTGTGTGTGTGTGTGTACATGTGGGCATGCATGTGTGTATGTACACACACACACAAGCAGATGAAGTCTGTTACACGGTTGTGTGCCATGGATATTCATTTGGCAATATTGGGAATGTTTATCTGTGTCATTAAATATTCTTAGCATATTTTTCTCTAGCTTTCACATGGTTGGCTTGTTTTAATTTATAAAGGTATTATATACCTTTTATACTTTGCATTTTTTTATTGAGGTGTGGTTTGCATATAGGAACACTTTGCATACAGTCACACTTTCTAGTGTTTATATCTGAATTTTGATAAACCCATAGTCTAATCACTGCGGTAATCAACATACACATTTCCTTCAACCCCCAAAATTTCTTTGTTTTCTTTTGTAATCAGCCCCTGCTACCACCCCCACCACTGGCAACTCATGATATTTTATTTTTCTATACATTTGCCTTTTCCCAAATGTCATATAAATGCAGTATATAGCCTTTTGAGTCTCACTTCTTTTATAGCACAGAGTACTGAGGCATATCCATCCATCTGTAGTGCTTTTTAATTGCTAAGTAATATTCTACTGTATGGAAATACCACAGTTTGTCATTCACCACATGAAGGAATCTGCATTCTTTGTAGTTTTTGGTCACTATGAGCAGATCTGCTATAAACATTCACATACAGGCTTTTGTGTGAAATTAAGTTTTTGTTTCTCTTGGATAAGAACTTGGGAGTAGGATTTCTGGGTCCTGCTAATGTATGCAATATTATTTATTTTTAACATGGGAAAAGCTAATTGTGTTTTATTTATGTTTGTCTGATAGCACTATGAAAAACTTGAACAAAACACAAAACTGCTAAATTCATTAACTTGAAATATTTCATTTTCTTTAATTAACAGTAATTTTTTGATGTTCAGACTACCTGGTTTTTGTTGCAAAAATTCCTGTATATCCTGGTTTCTCCATTACCTCTTTACAGCAGTTCCTCAGAACTATCTGACAGACTGCTTCCCAGGCTTAAGTACTCAGCAAATCTGCTGAATAAAACATAATTCTCAACTTTTAGGTTGTGCATTTTTTTTTCAGCCGCCATATGTCACCACATTAAAACCTACTACATCTTCTTAGATTACAGTGTTCCTTTGTATGGATGTACAATAATTTATTTAAACAATCCCCTCTTGTTGGATATATAAGTAGACTTTTTGTTTTGTTTTTACATCTTATAAACAACATCCTTGAGCCAAAAGTTTTTGTTTTTGTGTTTGCATTTATAGTTATTCCTTTAGGATAAATACATAGACATGAACTTGCTTGGACAGAGACCTCCATGCCACTTTATTTCATTCTACTTTTTCCTTAATATTTTTTCCCTCATGCATATATGAAAAGTTGGTATATAACACAACCTACATTGCAAATGCAGAAGGAAATATTGATCTTTCCAATAAACTGCCAGAATAGCTGTCTATTCATAAGGAAGAAAATGAAAATCATTCTCTATCTCATGTCATATATTAAAAACCCATTCCAGGTGAATTGAGAATTTAAATGTAAGTGGTAAATCTTATAAGTTTAGAATAAAATGTAGAAGAGCATCTTTATGGAAAGGTCCTTTAACCAAAGCTTTTAAGAACAAGATACAAAAGGTTTAAACCATAAAGGAAATATATAAGTTTGACTACATGAAAACTGAGAGCTTCCATTCATCAAAAGGCCCCATGAAGAGAGTGAAAAGACAAGTCACAACCGTCTATATTTGTAACACATATAACTAACCAAAGAGCAGCAACTAAGATATGTAAACAAACACCTATGAATCAATAAAACAGACAATAACACAATAGAAAATGAGCAAAAATACAAACAGAAATTTCAAAAAGAAAGCAGAAATGATCCATAAACATGAAAAGA